ATTCTAATTGATTTTGGTAGTTCTCATAACTTTGTCAGTGAAAATTTGGCTTCTAGGTGGAGGAATTGGACTGCACTTGAATCACCAATGCAAGTTCGAGTAGCCAATGGCTAAGTATTAAGTTGCACTCATGAAGTCACTGCATGCCCGATGTGGATTAGCGGTTATGCTTTCAAGCTGCCCTTGAAGATCTTGCCATTACACTATTATGATGTCATTTTGGGCATTGACTGGCTGGAGCAGCATAGTCCCTTGGAGGTTAATTGGAAGGAAAAGTGGATGAGCTTTGATTATCAGGTAGCAAGGCTCTATTACAAGGCATCCTTCCTCAAGTATTGAACTGTATGGAAATAGCATCTCAAGAGTTATCTGTTTTGGAGAGAATAGATCAGTTGTGGTGTATGATAGAACTGCATTCTATTGATGTCAACAAGTCAATGTTCACCAAGCCACCAGAAGTTCAACAATTGATAGATCAATTTTCTAGTCTGTTCCAACCCCCATCTGGGTTACCTCCTAAAAGATCTTCAGTTCACACTATCCCTTTAGTACCTGGGGCTCAACCTTTTAGAATGAGGCCTTATAGGTATAATTCATCTCAGAAGGATGAGATTGAGCAGCAAATTCAGCAACTCTTGGTTAATGGGTGGATCCAGGAGAGTCAGAGCCCTTATGCTTCCCCTATTTTATTGGTTAAGAAGAAAATAGGTGACTGGCGTCTGTGTGTGGACTACAGGAAGCTCAATGCCTTGACTGTGAAGAATAAGTTTCCTCTTCAAGTCATAGATGAGCTACTTGATGAGTTAGTGGGAGCTCAGTGGTTTACCACTCTGGACATGCCATCAGACTTCCATCAAATCTTATTAGCAAAAGAAGATATTGCCAAAACTGCATTTCAAACCCATAGTGGCCATTATGAGTATAAGGTCATGCCCTATGGGGTCACTGGTGGTCCATCTACTTTTCAGCATGTCATGAATACAGTGTTGGCACCAATCTTGAGAAAATTTGTAGTAGTTTTCATTGATGATATTCTCATCTATAGCAAGACATGGGTAGAACATTTGCATCACATTCAGGAAGTCTTTATACTACTTCATAAGCATCAGTTCAAGGTTAAACTATCCAAATGTTCATTTGCAAAGAAGGAGTTAGCCTATCTCGGCCATGTTATTAGTGCCAAAGGAGTGGCTATAGATCCTACAAAAGTGAACATTATCAAACGCTAGCCAACCCCTGCTAATGTTAAAGAGGTTAGAAGCTTTTTAGGAATGGCTGGTTATTACAGAAAGTTTGTCTAAGGTTTTGGTACAATTTACAAACCTCTCACTGTTTTATTAAAGAAGGGGTCTGTGTTTTTTTGGGCTCAGGAACAGCAGCAGTCTTTTTAGACTCTTAAAGATGCTTTAGTCACTGCACCAGTACTAGCTCTACCTGACTTAAGCAAATCTTTTGTCATAGAGACTGATGCTTCAGAAAAAGGGATAGGGGTTGTCCTTCAACAAAATGGTCATCCTGTGGCATATGTGAGCAAGGCTTTAGGGCCCAAGAATCAGACCTTATCCACCTATGACAAAGAGTGCCTAGCAATATTGTTGGTTGTGGACCATTGGAGGGCTTATCTCCAACACAATAATTCACTATTAAAACTGATCAACGTAGTCTGGTACATTTAGATGACCAAAGACTCACTACACCCTAGCAACATAAAGCTTTGACTAAGCTTATGGGACTGAGGTATAAGATTCTCTACAAAAAGGGAGTTGACAACCAAGTGGCAGATGCTCTTTCAAGAGTTACCAACAATCCCTATCAAACTCTTGCAGCAGTTTCAGCTTTACAACCAGTTTGGATTCAGGAGCTAGTGGATGCATATCATTCTGATCCTTTTGCTGTTAAACTTCTCTCCACTTTGGCTATTAACAACCCTGCTGGTCATTACACTCTGCAGCAAGGTATCATCAAGTATAAAGGAAAATTTTGGGTTGGTAACAATCGATCAATTTAACACCAGATCTTACAAACTCTTCACTCTAGTCCACTTGGGGGCCATTCTGGTTTTCCAGCTACTTACAAGAGAGTAAGAAACCTCTTTGCTTGGCCAAATCTTAAGGACATGGTGAAATATTTTGTGCAACATTGCACAGTCTGTCAACAGGCAAAGTATGAGAGAGTCAAGTATCCTGGCCTTCTTCAACTACTCCCTATACCAGATTATGCTTGGCAGGTGGTTAGCCTGGATTTCATCAAAGGTTTGCCTAAATTCCAAACATATGATTGCATCTTGGTCGTTGTGGATAAGTTTTCTAAATATGCCCACTTTGTTCCTCTTAAACATCCATTCACTGCCTTTCAAGTTGCTTTAGCTTATATGGATCATGTCTTTAAGCTACGTGGCTTTCCTGAAGTTATGATATCTGATAGAGATAAAGTATTTACTAGTCAGATATGGCAGCAGTTGTTTAAATTAATCAAAACTGAGATTGGGATGAGTACATCTTACCATCCTCAAATTGACGGGCAAACTGAACGAGTCAATCAGTGTCTTGAAGCTTATTTGAGATGTTTTGTGCATGCCTACCCCACTCAATGGAAACAGTGGCTAGCTCTCGCTGAATTTTGGTATAACACCAGTTTTCATACATCGCTGAATACAACTCCTTTTGAAGTGCTTTATGGCCAGCAACCTAGGCACTTAGGCATTGACATAGTTGAATCCTGTGCTATTCCTGACCTTCAGCTTTGGTTAACTCAAAGGAAACTTATGGTTCAGTTATTACAACAGCAACTCGCTAGAGCTCAACACCGCCAGAAAATGCAAGCTGATAAACACAGATCTGAGCGTTCCTTTGTCGTGGGTGATATGGTTTATCTCAAGCTTCAACCATACATTCAGACTTCCATTGCAACAAGAGCTAGTCACAAGTTGTCTTTTCACTACTTTGGACCGTATCCAGTACTTGCAAAAGTGGGTGCTGTTGCATACAAGTTACAGTTGACAGAGCATACCAATATCCACCTAGTGTTTCATATCTCATTGCTTAAGAAAGCCCTGCCTGCTACAACCTAGGTTTCCTCTGATCTTCCTGTCAATTATGAAACTGACATTTTTCGGATCCCTGTTAAGGTACTTCAACGTCGTCTGAAACCTGACGGTGATCACATAGTATCTGAAGTTCTTATTTAGTGGTTGTCTTGGCCACCGTCCATGGCTACTTGGGAGCTGGAAGATGAACTCAAGAAGCAGTTTCCTGCTGCACCGGCTTGGGGACAAGCCGGTTTTCAAGATCGGACGAATGTCAAGATACTGGGCGCCAAAGATACAGAAGCAGCAGCAGCTGATGTTGGGCCAGGCGCTATCAAGCCCTAGCGTGCATTGAAGCCCAACCCACTCTACTCCGGACTTGACTGGGTCAGCCGTTGAGGCGATAAGAGGAAGGGAAAGAGAACATCGTGGGGAACAAGCTAGAACCAGAAACCAGACTTGGCCGGCTGCGTCCGTAGGATTGGAGCCGGGAGTAGTTCGCTCACCGCGCTTGTAAGCAAATCTGAGTGACTCGTCGTCCAATTTGTGTTAAACCCAGATACTAAACCGATATCATAGACACCAATTCGTTATTATGTGTTGAGAATCCTGACAGTGTTATATTAAAAGGATTAATCATTTCTCTCTAGTCAACAAGCACACACAGTTTAAAAGGATCTAGAAGTTTTAAAATGTTTCTCAATTGAATGAATCTAGATTTTTTAAAAGAGTTTCGCATTCATTTACGAAATTTGTTAAATTTCGTTACATTGAAATGGTTTGTTAAAACTTACTGATATGAAAGTTTTCAGTCTTAAAGTGATTTATTAAAAGGTGGTAAACACAAGGTGTTATAGTAATCTCCCCTCCCTGCCTAGTGCTGAAAAATCCTAACAGATCATTGATGGACATGGGACACACGTTGCTCGGTGCCGTACACCCTCCTACCTTCGGTGGGACTCTGCCCTCTCTGGCAAGGCTTCTCTGCAACCGATTTCACCTAAGAGCATCTCCAAGAGTTTCCTATTTTTTCTCCTAAAAACTTGTAGTTTGGTAACTCCTAAAAGATTTGGGGAGGAAAAAGAAGGTCATCTCAAGAGTTTCTAATAAATGGCATCTAAAAAATCAAATTTGGGGCCCACATGAATTATGTTGCGCTTTTTTTCCTTTTCCATCATGGGAAACTACAGGCGCTGCCAATCCTGAGACCATGAGCTCCTGCCGCGCGCCATCGTCCAGCCAGCCAGCGGCAACCACCCAGCCGCCTGCCTCCTCCTTCCAGCCAGCTCGTCCACCTTCCAACCGCCACGCCCTCCTCCTGGTCGACCGACGCCACCTCCCAGCCGGCATGACCATCTCCTAGCCGGCCACACCTGTCATAGCCTGCAGACCGCCTCAAGAAGGTCGTTAGAATCATGGTTGCTGAAAAATCTCTGTTGCAAAGAGAATTAGAAGATTTCTCATCAGACGACAATGATTGTCTCATCATGTCAGCCGTTGCAATTGTTGAAACATATTCAAATAAAAAAGGAAGACATGGTGGTTCTGTTTTAGGGCATAAAGTTATTTATCGAGATAGAGAAGGCGGGCACCGAAGGATGTTTCAAGATTACTTGGCTGATGATCCGACATATGGCCCAAATTTATTCCGTCGGAGGTTTGTGCACATTCACTTGTGATATGATCACTAACACGCGCGCAATTCGCATCCGCGTGCACGTGTGTAATCCCCCAAGCTTGTTCAGTGCTCTGTATCGGCCAGACGGCCACACGTTTTCTGCATCCGATGCTCACTTTATGCTCGGTTTCAACGATCCATATATATGTTTGCGCACTCTGAACACCAGCACACACCAGGTCGAGAACTCTCAATCCTCCGCTCTCATTTCATACGTGCCCTCGCTGCTTCTGCTCAAGAAGCTGAGAGGTCGAAAGTCAGGAACAAATGTCCGCAGTGGTGGCCAAGTCAACCGAGATGGCGGGGAACAAGCTCCGGAAGCCGTACACCATCACCAATCCTCTGCAGAAGTGGACCGCCGACGAGCACGACCGGTTCCTCCACACGCTGGTGCTGCACGGCCGCGACTGGAAGAGGATCGAGGCGTTCGTCGCCACCAAGACAGCCACGCCCAGAAGCACTTCCTCAGGGCTCAGAAGATGGGCCTCGCGGTGCCGCCAGTGCACCCTCGTCGCTCCGGCGCCGTCGTACGCCAGGCGCAGCCGCCCACTAGCGGGAGTCGAAGGACGCTCGAGGCTGCGGCACATAAAGTTATGTGGATGAGGGGGATTTTTTCCAACTCCTAAAATATTAAGAGATTATATTAAAAGTTGTTGGAGATGGATTTTTTGTGGATCTTTCTAAAAACTTAGGATTAAAAAGAGATTTAGAGAACTCTTGAAGATGCTCTAAGAAGCCAGGAAACCAGAGATGCCCCCCGTTTAGGTGGCTTCACCCTCCTAATAAAAACAAAACGGCTTCTCCTCTCTAGGGACTTCTCGTAATGCCATTTTCTTAAGTCAGTGCCTAGCAGGGCTTCAACCGAGAAGCCAGAAAAACTAGAAAAGTCCCTCAATAAAACCAGCCAGACAAGGCCTTATAAAAAAAAAAAGAGGGGAATAGAACAAGACTGTGAGAGTCTGTGACTACAGGAGCCACTCGTGTAGTTTTTTTTTTAATTCCATATAGGAGCTGATTCTTGACGACACAGATATTGTCTTGCTTCTTCCAATGTTCCAAATGGACTTTTCGTTATGCAGCTATCAGTAAAATCGTCATACGTTGCTCACTAGTCACTAGAGTAGGAAAAAAATATCAGGGCATTGGCCCTGCTTCTTCCAATGTTCCAAATGGACTTTTCGTTATACAGCTATCAGTAAAATCGTCATACGTTGCTCACTAGTCACTAGAGTAGGAAAAAATAATGGACTTTTCGTTATGCAGCTATCAGTAAAATCGTCATACGTTGCTCACTAGTCACTAGAGTAGGAAAAAAATATCAGGGCATTGGCCCTGCTTCTTCCAATGTTCCAAATGGACTTTTCGTTATACAGCTATCAGTAAAATCGTCATACGTTGCTCACTAGTCACTAGAGTAGGAAAAAAATATCAGGGCATTGGCCCTCGACGGGGTGGGTGGGTGTGTGTGTGTGGGGGGGCCTCAGTGAGGGAGAGAGAGAGAGATTTTGCATCTACCTTCCAAAGCTATGTATGGCTCACTAGTCACTAGAGTAGAAAAAAAAATCAGAGTTAGACTGGACTTGGATGTGTGCAGCTCATCCTGTGTGGTGGTGGCAGAGCCGTGAGGCCGAGAAGTATTCCCCATCTAGCCATCTCCCTCCCTCAGATTCACTCACCAGTCACCAGCGTCCAGCGACATGGCGGAGGCCATTGCCATATCACTCTCTGGTAAACTCGCCGTGGCACTGTCGCGCAGCGCCGCCCTTGGCATCTCACGCCTCATCGGCGTCCGCTCCGACATTGCCGCTGCTAAAGGGGACCTCGACCTCCTCCGCACCTTCCTTCGTTTCGCAGACTCCCGCCGCGGCAGCACCGGCCGGCACGGACGAACTCGTGGCTGAGTGGGTAAGGCAGGTCCGCGATGCCGCCTTCGAGTTAGAGGACGTGGCTGACGAGTGCTCCTTCCTCTCCGTCCACCGCCGCTTCGCCAAGGACTTGGTCAACATCAAGGCCTGGCTCGCTGTGTCGAGGCGGTTGCGCAAGGCTCGGGAGACGCTCTCCCACCTGTCGGCAATCAAGGGGCAGTACGGCATCCACCCCGCCGACGCCGTCGACCCCGCCATCGTTAGCGGGACGGCAGCGGCGTTGGCGGTGAGTGCTCACTTCTTGGAGAAAGAGGAGATAGTCGGTTTCGCTGCGCACGAGAAGCAACTCCTGGAGTGGGTGGTCGAGGACGCGGAGCCACGTCGGACGCTGGTCGCCGTCTGTGGGATGGGCGGCGTCGGCAAGACCACCCTCGTCACCCGCGTGTACAGGGAGGCGGCGGCGACGAGCCACTTCGATTGCTCCGCGTGGGTGGCCGTCTCTGGAGGCGTCACGCGGGACGACGTCCTCTGGAAGATCCTCAAAGAGCTGCACCTGCAGTGCGACCGCGATGATGATGACTACCGGTCGCTCGTGGCGGCTGTAAGGAGGCATCTTGGGAAGAGGAGGTATCTGATCGTGCTCGACGACGTCTGGGACGCGCACCTGTGGGACACGCTCCTCCGTCATGCGTTCCTCGACGACGCGACCGGTAGCCGCGTGGTCATCACCACCCGCAGCAGAGACGTGGCTATGGCCGCGGTGCCCGAGAGGATCATGACGCTGCAGCCACTGCCGTGGCACGAGGCGTGGACGCTCTTCTGCAACGTCGCCTTTAGGTCCTGGTCCAGGGAGAGGGAGGAGGCGGCGTCCGACACCGACGGCAGAAGGACGTGCCCGAGCCACCTGAAGGAGCTCGCTAGCAGCTTGCTAGATCGATGCGGTGGCTTGCCGCTGGCGATCGTGTCCATCGCCAATCTCCTCGCGCTGAAAGAGAGGACAGTGTTCGCCTGGAAGAACGTCCACGACAGCCTCGTGTGGGACAAGAGCAGCAGCGACCTTGGGATAGGGGAGGCCGCAAGCATACTTAACCTCAGCATCGATGACCTGCCGCACCACCTCAAGAGATGCTTCCTGAGCTGCAGCATATACACCGAGGACTTCTTGATCAAGAGGAAGATACTGATAAGGGACTGGGTCGCGCAGGGCTTCATCCAAGAGGAACAACATGGCTCTGCAGCCACACGTACAGTGGAGGATGTCGCAGATGATTATTTGGACCAGCTAGTACACCGCAGCCTCATCCAAGTTACTGAAACCAACGAATTTGGCCGTGCCAAACGGTGCCTTATTCACGACCTCATCAGGGATCTGATTATCCAAAGGTCAAGAGGAGAAGGCTTCTTTCAGTTTACCAAGCGCAAGATAACAATGGACTGCAGCGTCAGAATCCGTCATCTTTCAGTTGACCGATGCGAACTGGATTGCGAATCGCTTCCAAGGCAGGTGCAGGCTTCTCTTCGCTCCTTCCACGCATTTGGGTCAGAATTCGGTGCTCTGTTCCTATCCCGATTTAGGCTGATAACTGTTCTCAACCTCTGGTTCGTTGAGATGAACAAGTTGCCCAACACGGTGATGAGTCTGTACAATCTACGGTATCTCGGTATCCGCTCGACTCTCATCCAAGAACTACCGGAGAATCTAGGAAACTTGCAGAAGCTGCAAACATTGGACGCCAAGTTATCCATGGTGCAAAGGTTACCAGACAGCACAGCCAAACTAAAGAGCATGCGCCACCTGATACTTTTGAGGCGTCCAACTGCTGACTTATTTGGGCCCCCGTTTCCCGGCAAAGCAGTTGGAGCTCCTAAAGGGCTAGAAAACCTGACCAGCCTGCAGACACTCAAGTATGTTGTAGCTGACAAGAAGATGGTTGGTTCCTTAGCAAGACTGGAACAGATAAGGAGCCTAGAGCTATCTGGAGTAGATGCGAGCCTTACTTCTGAATTGTCATCGTCAATCTCCAGAATGAGCTGTCTTGTGCGCTTGGGTTTGGAAACCGAGCCGACAGCGACAGAAGATGCAGTACTTGACTTGGACTCAATTACTCCACCACCACTTAAGCTACAAAAACTCGCATTGACTGGCAAGTTAGCAAGAGGGAGGCTGCCATCATGGACATGCTCTTTGACTAGCCTCGTGCAACTACGGCTGTGCCGTTGCGCTAGTGCGCAAGATTCATTCTTTCTCCTCGCAGCGCTTCCAGGGCTTGTAAATCTTAGCCTTATCGACACATACCATGACAAGGTCATGACCTTTGTGGGAGGTAGTTTTCCTGCACTGAAAAGACTCACCTTGCAGGACTTGGCTAACCTTAGTCGTATAGAGTTTCAGCAAGGTTGCCTACTAAAGCTACGTGACCTGGTACTTGACCACTGCACCGAGCTGACTGAGGCACCTGTAGGCATGAAGAACCTCAACCATCGTCTGAACTCGGAAGTTTTTGGCATGCCAACAGAGTTTGCAGATAAGTTGAAGGAACACAGTCATGATTCTGATATTACAAATTCAGAAGTCGATCGTCGGGCACATCTGTGTTTGAGGTACTTGAGATGGGTTGGAAGAAACAAGTGAATTTTGTTACATGTTGTATCAGATTAAATCAATCTAGGTACGTGTATAGCTTTTAGCCGTGTGTATATCTGGTTCGGTTTTAATTTGTCCATGGTGTGCAAGACTCGCATGTAATTGCAGATGTACTAATCATAGTGAACCTTCTTTCTTATCCTGGAACTCATATATATGATATAAATGTTAATCCTAGGCATGTTTATTCATTTGATTTGACTAGCCCTTCAACTCGTGCACCTCACTACGGGAGACGCGCTCTTTGCCGAGTGCTCGGCGCTTTGCCTAGTGTCGAAACACGGGCACTCGGCAAAGAGACAGTTTGCCGAGTGCTGCACTCGGCAAAGCCGGCACTCGGCAAAGGCCGTCTTTGCCGAGTGCCAAACACTCGGCAAAGAGGGACACTTTGCCGAGTGTCAGACACTCGGCAAAGAATAACCCTCGGCAAAATACCTCAGGCGACGCCGGTGGCCCCTCCGTCATCCTTTGCCGAGTGCTGGCCGTTAGCACTCGGCAAACGTGCTGTCTTTGCCGAGTGTCTGGCCTGGCACTCGGCAAAGAGGTTCCTTTGTCGAGTGCCAATTCCGACACTCAGCAAAGTATTTTTATTATTTATTTTTTTCAAATTTTTTCGGTGGCATTTATACAGTACCTTAAAGCACATGTTCCAATTTGGAACTTTTCTATGACTTTTTTGGTATATTTTTAAAAAAATTATGTTTACTTGAATTTTCTCGAAAAAGTAAATTTGAACCGCAGGTGCATGAAACATTGGAATTTAGCGTTTCAAAAAATGATATTCATGTTTTTGAGTGTATTTTGAGGCCGTGTGCAGGGACATTAATGAAATTTCGAACATCTGTTTCACGAAACATGACCATCAACTTGTTAAAAAAGTGTTTTTTAATTATATAAAATGCAAGCGAAGTCACGAAAATCACAAAACTTGTCGAGATTTTCGGACTTCATTTGCATGTAGAGGCTGTGGTAAAAATTTAGAAGTTTCCAAGCAAGTTGGTGACATACGATGCCTAAAACCATGACATCTCCACATGTGATGGTAGGTTTTAGTCATCAAATGTACACTAAAAAGGTTTGAATACATCATTTTTTAAATCACTAAATTCCAATTTTTCATATTACTTAAAAACTCTAGCTCAAATTTACTTTTTCAAGTAAACATAAAAAAATTAAAAATATACCAAAAGTCATAGAAAAGTTCCAAATTGGAACATTTGCTTTAAGGTACCGTATAAATGCCACAAAAAAATTTAAAAACAAAAATAAAAAAAATAAAAATACTTTGCCGAGTGTCGGAATTGGCACTCGGCAAAGGAACATCTTTGCCGAGTGCTAGGCTTGCAGCACTCGGCAAAGAATATTCAGAATTTTTTTTCATCTTTTGGATTAAAAGAAACCCCCCCTAAATTTCTTTGCCGAGTGCCCGCATCTCGGCACTCGGCAAAGGGCCGCCCCACTTAACCCTAGCGGGCCGGCCCGCCCGCTCCCACTCTCCCCCTCTCCCTCTCACAGCCGCGTGCCCCGGCTCCGCCCCATCATCACAGGACCACCGCCGCCGGACCTCCCGCCATGATCGGCCCGCAGCCTGAGTCTGCCCTCCCGACCGGTGGTGCGCGCCCCCGCCCGCCCGCCACCTCCACCGCCTCCATGTGACAGCCCCACCCGGCCCGCTCCACTCACGCCACGGGCCGGACCCACCAGGTGGTGCCTTCCTGCCGCCCCCCCACCTGAATCGCCGAAGTGGAGGAGAGGAGGAGCAGGGGAGTAAAGGGGAAAAGGGAGGTGGAGGAGAGGAGAAGGGAGAAGGAAGAAGGAGAAGGGAGGAGAACGAGAAGGGAGGAGGAAGGAGAAGGGAGGAGCCTCGGCCGCCGGCCACGCCCCTCGCCATTCGTCCCCGCCGTCATCCCCGCCCCTCGCTGGAGACGAAGGTGGCCCCGGCACCGCGTCGCCCGACTCCACCACCACCCAAGGTATAAAGCCCCCCCTGGTTGTTGGCCTTCGTGCCTTGTATGTCATTGACGGCCTTCGTGCCGTATGTGGATGTGTGGGCCTTCATGCCGTTCGGGGATGTGTGGGCCTTCGTGCCATATATATGCTGTCGGCCATCGTGCCGTCTTTTTTCTTGCAGGTTTTGGAAACCTCCCCGTATAGGGGAGGTTCTGCCGAAATTTTTAACTTATAGTATTATAATTCTTCTTTTGCAGAGCAGGACCCGTCGGAGGGGACCCGGAGTACGTAGGCGACCCCGATTGTCTTTGTCGACGCTGCGGTCCTGCCTGCACAGCGTCGCCTCGCCACTGCCCCGCTAGCCTGACTCCACCGCCACCCTAGGTAAAAATAACCTCTCTTCCTTATCGTTGTCATAGATCGGTGTAACCCAGTTAGGTGTCTCTCGTTCGAAACAGATATGGTTGGAGGTATGTGGATCTTCGCATATCTAAGACCGTATCTGTTTCAGATTGTCCACTTTTTTTGACAGCCCGCGGATGCATAGATGGGGTAGTTTCCATGTTCTGCTTCGATCCAAGACAGAGTTTCGGCACCACCTCCCTGTTGTTTTCCGAATACACACTCTCTCTTCCAGGACGTGTATCGGGAGAACAGCGGGGAGGTGCTGCCGAAATTCTGTCTCGGATCGGAGTAGAGCATGTAAACTAACCTCATCTACGCATCCACGGGTGGGATTAGGACCTATCCTCACCCATTAGACAGTAGGAATGCCGTTCAGATGCAATTGGTGGTTATATTACTCACTCATGTATATGCTAGAGGATGGATAACCGTGAGTGGATGTACACGGGCCGCCCAAGTCAGGCTGAAATCACCCCTAAATAGATGGACAAGACCGAGGGTTTCTTGAACCAAGCATTTGGCAAGGCAGCTAATGGAGCGAGAGACACGTTATGTCCCTGTAGCGAATGCGGAAACAGGAAAAGAAAAACAAGGAAGATCATGGGGGAACATCTTTGCAAGTATGGATTTACGCCAAACTATACCCGGTGGGTGTTCCATGGTGAAGCCCATCGTACTAGAGAGGAGGTGGTGAGACCACACTTGGAGGCGTTTGATGCTGATGGCGGGGTAGCAGGATGGTTAGGTGACTTTCACGAAGCAACATTCACTGAAAAACCTATGGAGGAGGAGGAGGAGAAGGAGGATGAGGTGGAGGAGCCAGAGCCAACCGGAAAGGCGTTCTACCAAATGTTGTCTTCGGCACAGAAGCTCCTACACGAGAAGGCAACGGTTTCTCAATTGGATGCCATTGGATGCCTAATGGGGTTGAAGTCCCAGTACAATATGAGTCGAGCCTGCTTCGATGGTATGTTGGCAGTTATTGGTGGGCTGCTTCCGGAGGGTCATATTCTGCCGAGCAGCTTCTATGAGTCACAGAGACTCCTTCGTGCACTTATGATGCCGTATGAGCAGATACATTGTTATCCGAAGGGGTACGTCCTATTTAGGAAAGATCACAAGGATGCAAAGTACTGTCCAAAGTGTAAATCCTCTAGGTATGTGGAGGTAGACAAAGGTGATGGCCAGAAGGAGCAGCTTGAGATCCCCATGAAAGTCCTACGGCACCTTCCGATCATATCGAGGCTCCAACGACTATTCATGACCGAGGAGTCCACGAAACAGATGACATGGCACAAGAATGGCATTCGATACAATCCTGACAAGATGGTACATCTAGCTGATGGTGAAGCATGGAAAAGCTTTAATCGCAAGCATCGTGACAAAGATCTTGAGGCCCGTAATGTACGTGTTGCGCTGGTAACGGATGGGTTCAATCCTTATGGAATGATGTTGGCCCCATACACTTGTTGGCCCGTGTTCGCTACCCCCCTCAATCTCCCCCCGGGGTCCTCCTTCAACAGCAAAATATATTCTTGACGTTGATAATTCCTGGACACCCAGGAAACAAAATGGGTGTGTACATGGAGCCTGTTTATGATGAATTGATCAGTGCTTGGAATGAAGGGGTATGGACTTACGACCGAGCTACAAAGAAAAACTTCAAAATGTATGTTTGGTACCAGTACTCCATGCATGACTTCCTGGTGTATGGGATATTCAGCGCCTGGTGTGTCCACGGGAAGTTCCCATGCCCGGTATGCAAGACAACTCTGGAGTTCATTTGGTTGAAGAAGGGTGGCAAGTTTTCGTCGTTCGACAAGCATCGATAGTTCCTACCTCTTAACCATGCATTCAGACAAGACACCAAGAACTTCACGAAAGGTGTCAAGGTGACCGACCCTGAACCTCAGAAGATGACTGGTGCCCAGGTTCATGCTCAGATAGATGCTCTCGTGGTCAATCCATAGAAAGATAGTCGAAAGAAAGATAATCCAAAGAAAGATTGCTTTGTGGGATATGGTGTCGAACATATGTGGACTCATAAGTCGGGCTTGGAGAGGCTTCCCTATTTTGATGACCTTCTCCTTCCACATAATATAGATGTAATGCACACTGAGAAGAATGTCGCCGAAGCACTTTGGGCAACACTCATGGACATTCCTGACAAGACAAAGGACAACCCTAAGGCCAGAGTGGACCTGGCAACGCTATGCGATTCCAAGCTAGTGCGCCACCCACCCCAATTGCTGGGAATATATTGTGGACACCTGGTTGGACGGGGACTGGCAGAAGAAGCACGAGGAGGCCCGCGACAGGCGTTTGCAGATGCCAGGTGTACCTCACCATCAGGGCAGCCGCAGCCTCAGCAAATATGCAAAGGCATATGTAAGTCTCCGCCATTGCTCTAATCTAGCCGCGCGCTCAATTCTACATCATTTCTAACCACATGTTGTTGTCTTTCTCGTAGTCGGATGCACACGGTGGCCAGCCAGTTGGTCAACTCAAGGCATATGCTCTGGCTCACATGGGCAAGGCGACGGCCGACATCGAGTACGACCCAGATGCCCCCGCTTGAGGCGTACACCAACTCCAGCGTCCACACCCGCCTCTCTTCGTACACGAAGGCGGCAAGGTCAGTCCATGGGCCGGGCTACGATCCGAGAACCGAGGAGCGCCTTGATCCTCAGCTCATGATGAGGGTGGGGCAAGGCAAGAAGCATGGACGGTTCTAGATTGGCGACGACGTCCTCGACATGGCCTCTACTCCTCCTCTCCACCAACTCTGAGCAGCGAGAATGAGCTCAAGCGTGCCCATACGCCAACGGCCGACCGTGGTGTCGGCACTCCAGGTAAGCATTCCTGTTTCATTCGTCGTTCTTTGACTTTTACATACCTTACCTATGCATTATTGAAACATTGGGGTCAAATGCTGTAGGCCTAGGTGCAGGAACTGTAGGCCGAGCGGGAGGCCGAGCGGCAGAGGCTACAGGCTTTGGAGGCCCAGCGGGAGCAAGATCAGCGACAGATGGCCGAGATGATCAAGTTCATGCAGCAAATTGGCCAGCAACAAGGTTGGGCGATCCCACAGATGCAACTTGCTCCAGATCCACCTCCACAACGTCCTGATTCTACCTTGGTGAGTATAAGTACGAAGTTTTACTTTCTATGCTGAAACTTAGAGAAACCTAGAGAAACCTAGTGGTGGTGGTGGTGGTGATGTGGTGGTGGTATGGTGGTCATGGTGGTGGTGGTGGTGTGGTGTTGGTGGTGGTCATGGTGGTGATGTGGTGGTGGTGGTGGTGAAGTGTTGGTGATGGCGGTGATGGCGGTGGTGGTGGTGGTAGTGGCGGATATTTATCTTGCATATTTATCTCTTCTCTTGTCGCTCACGTGCAATCTCTTCTATTTTGTGCAGCATCAATCGGGGGGCGTCGAACCACCTCGGAGGGTCACCGAGATCGCACGTTGGGCCATCCCAACCCGGACCGTCGTCGTGAGCTTCAAATGGCAGCCATTGTGATATAATGCACTTGTGAACTTTATGAACTATGCTTGTGTGTTTGAACTTTGGACTTGAGAGTCGAGATTGTGATACTTGTATGCTATGTTTGTGTTTGTGGTGGATTGTGATATACATTTGTATTATATATATATTTGTGTGATATATAGTTGTCTTATATATATATATATATATGATGTATATCTTGTTTGCAACGATGGAAGACTAAAAACAAAAAAAAATTGAATTTTTTCACTTCTTTGCCGAGTGTCATGACCATGACACTCGGCAAAGCTGGGAATCTGGGACACTAAGCTTCCCAACTTTGCCGAGTGCCATGGTCAAGGCACTCGGCAAATAAAATTTAAAAAAAACTGCTTTGTCGAGTGCCTACCTACAGCACTCGGCAAACAAAATCCAAAAAAAAAGAAAACAAGCTTTGCCGAGTGTCAGATGCAGGCACTCGGCAAAGCATTTAAAAAAAATAAAAAACACATTTCTTTGCCAAGTGCCGACGCGTGGCACTCGGCAAAGGGGGCGTCACCGTGACCTAGCCGTCACTGCGGCTTTTCTTTGCCGAGTGCCGTCGTGGCACTCGGGAAATCCTTTGCTGAGTGTCCGACATGCGGCACTCGGCAAAGAAGTTTTTGCCGTGAAGGGATATGCCGACAGCTCTTTGCCGAGTGCAGCACTCGGCAAAGGCTTTGCCGAGTGTAAAGCCTTCTTTGCCGAGTGCAATTGCACTCGGCAAAGCACGCGTCTGCTGCAGTGCCTGTTACTAATTCTAAAAACATAAGGTCTATGAATTAACTAAGTTTTTATTCATGTTGTACTCCGTAGTATCTAATGGATGTTCTATTGAGAGAGTTACCTTGGCGGGACATCCATTTTTATTGACTATATTTTGAACCCGCGCGCAGCATGTCTTACATAGCTAAAGCCTGGCGACGTTGCTACGGGTTCATGGTGTGCAAACCTTATATAGCCCCGAGGTACAGTTACATATAGGCATGGGTAAAGATCCCCAAAACGGCCAATATCAGCGGCCGACGGTGCAGATCAAGTGAACAGATACAGGAGAGGGAGTAACGGTAGAGGGCATGAAACAAGATGAACTAGGTATCTGGTGATGGGCCAAAACTAGCTCAATTTTTTTAACCTTTTTCTAAAACAAATTCCAAATCTAACACCGTTGCTTTTTTTATTTTCAAATATAACCCGTTTGGCCGCGCCTAAGACCGTGGCACGGCTAAAACACGTTGTCGTGCCACATGCATCGGCGCGGCACGATCTGCCAAGTCGGACAACGATTTTCACGTGGCAATCCTTGCCGCGCCATTTCAGTTAGCGCACCAGCACTATAGCGCCACGCCAACCAGACTGGCGCGGCAATGTGCAACATTAAAAAAATTGTATCTATTTCATATGATCTTGGATGAAGATGATTTTTATATAAAAATTGTAGCTCTTGACGAGATCTACAACTTTCTAGTATTGAGTTTTTTAATTTGAGGTCATTAAAATGCTCAAAAAATAAAATAACATTTCAGCAGTATATTAACCGTGAACAAGTGTTTGTCGCCTTGGGAAAAAACTCGTATCTTTCTTATATGGTATCAAATGAAGATACATTATATATAAAAGTTGTAGCTTTGGACGAGGTTTCTAGTTTTGAGTTTTTTAATTTAAGGTAATTAAAATGCTCAAAAAAATTAAACAAAATTTTAGCAGTATATTAATCACGTACAAGTGCTTGTCGCCTTGGAAAAATCGTATCTCTCTTATATGGTGTCAAATAAAGATACTTTATATATGAAAGTTGTAGTACTCGATGAGATCTACAACTTTATAGTTTTGAGTTTTCAAATTTAATGTCATTATGGTGCTCAAAAAAGTTAAATAGTTTCAGCAGTATATTAATCGCATACAAGCGCTTGTCGCTTTGGAAAAATCGTATCTCTCTTATATGGTGTCAAATGAAGATATTTTATATATGAAAATTGTAGCACTCGATGAGATCTACAACTTTATAGTTTTGAGTTTTTAATTTGAGGTCATTAAGATGCTCACAAAAATTAAACAAATTTTCAGCAGTATATTAATCCCGTACAAGTGCTTGTCGCTTTGGAAAAATTGTATCTCTCTTATATGGTGTCAAATGAAGATACTTTATATATGAAAGTTCTAGCACTCGACGAGATCTATAACTTTCTAGTTTTGAGTTTTTTAATTTTAGGTCATTAAATGCTCAAAAAAATAAACAACGTTTCAACAGTATATTAATCCCGTACAAGTGCTTATCGCCTTGTAAAAATCGTATCTCTCATATATTGGGTCAAATGAGATACTATCTATATGAAAATTGTAGCCTCGACGAGATCTACAACTTTCTAGTTTTGGATTTTTTAATTTGAGGTCATTAAGATGCTCAAAAAATTAAACAAAAAATTCAGCAGTATATTAATTGTATACAAGTGCTTGTCAACTTAGAAAAAATGTATCTTTCTTATATTGTGTCAAATAGATATACTTTTTATATGAAAGTTGTAACTCTTGGTGGGATCTACAACTTTATACCGGGGATGGAGATGCGTCGTTTCGTGCGTACGCTCGAACGCACATGAAACGAAGATGGCGGTCATGCATGGACGTGCGTCCAAACGTCCGAACTCTGGTATCTCCGAAATAAAATTCCAAGCTGGCCACTTCCACAAAAGAAGCCAGCAGCAGATGGAAGTAGCATTAGATATCGATAAAACCTTTTATAAATTCGATTAACTAACTTATTCAAATTATTAATGAATTTCCTTCATTGTGGAAGTTACGCTCGCAAGTGCGGCGCTCAAATTCCCATGCTTACATTGGCACAAATACACTAGAGCATGCCGTGTTTTTTTTTTTGGCACGTCCCAAGTAGGGCAGGAGCCAAACGTTGCAGCAAGTTGCGGCAACGAGCCAAACAGGCCCTAGATACAAGATAGGAATAAGAAGAATTCGAAGTTTATTAGACCTCGTCAAATTTACAAGGCAAAATCGGTTAGCGGATATTGAAAGTGGATGTCGTTTGCTAGCGGACACTCAAAATGAAACCATTTGCTGAAAGACACTCTCGTTATACTCCTTATTTTATTCATTTGCACTAGTTGAAGAGAGAGAAAGATCGAGAAATAACATTCTTGTCCCTGACTCTTCCTTCTTCCTCTCTCCATTTGTTTTTTTTGTCCCTGCGTCACGAACAGGCAGGGGCGGCTCCGGTGGGCAGTTCCAGCCGCATGGGAGCACGCCGACGGCGGGGCTTCTCCGGAGGGACACGCAGGGCCGGGCCGCACCACAGGGACCCGCTGGGCCGGGCGGCGCTGGAGGTGATGCCTGCGCCGGAGCAGAGGCAATCCGGCGGCGTCGCTTGACGGAGCTCCCGGCTTCGAAGGTCCCGGCGAGCGTGCGCAGGGGACGGAGGAAGCCGAGGCGAAGCCGTCTGTGAATAGGGCTCGGGTGGAGACGGCCTCCAGAGATGGGAATGGGGACGACGGATCTCGGCTTCGAGCCCGTCGTTCATGGCGGGCGCGAGCCAAACGGCGGCGGTGTTTCCCCCGCTGGATCTGGCTGCGTACGACGGGCAGTGCGCCTTCCCCAGCGTGTGCGCGCCGCAGAGCACGGCGAGGTCCTTGACATCGAGGCCGTTGGCGGCGAAGGCCTGGACCATGAGGCTGATGTCGCCGTGCAGGAGCGGAAGCTCGCCGCAGCTGGCGGCGTTGGATGTGCGGCCGTACCAAGAGAGGAGCGCGAGGGCGAGGGCGAGGTCCCTGAGCGCGGAGATGGCGGCGGCGAGGTGCACGTCGAGGAGAGGGGAGCGGGGCGCGCGTCGGGCGACGAGGCGTGCATCCGGGAGCGGGGTGTGAGGACATGAGGTGCGGCCGCGTCTGGCTGGGCCTGTTCGGGCTAGACATGAGGCGCCATCCGGAGGCTCTCGGAGCGGATCGACGGGAGGACCGGACGGCCGGCTGATCACATCGCGCCGCTGCCAAGCAAGAGGAGATGGCTGCACACCTGCTGCTGCGCCGAGGAGCACGGAGAGGACGATACGCCGCTGCCCAAGGAGCATGTACGCTTGTGTCAGAGGAGCGTTACAACGACGCAGCCTCTGTTCATCTCACGACACGACTTCATCGGCGCCGGTGACTTGAGCACGCATCTGCATCTCACGACACGACTTTCCAGTCTTCATTGGCCGCGGCCATGCCTCCCGCACCGACGGAACCACACACAAGCAGCGGCGGCGCAACTCTGCTAGCCCCCTCATCCTGGTTTCACGCGCTAGGCGAGGCATTCGTCCGCGCGATAGCCGCGGTGGGGTTGGCATGCGCCGAGCGCGTGGAGGTTCGTGGCAGCGCGGTCCTCGAGCGACAGCTCTGCACGGTCCTTGAGGGGCGACGGCGGCCAGGATGCAAGCGCGCGCGTCCCCGAGCAGGGGCACGGCCACAAGGAGGTGTCCCTGAGCGACGGCCATGATCTCACCGGAGCAGAAGAAGAAAGGTAGGGAGAGGAGGAAGAAGAGGACAAGGGGGCAAAAACGAAGAAGAGGACAAGGGGGCAAAAACGTCATTTCATCACTGTTCTCTCACCCACTGACCCAGAAATGAATATTTTAATGGGTTCGATGTCCTCTAGCAAATTTGGCACAAACTAGAGTGTCCAACAATAAATCGATCATTTTTTCTGTGGAAAGCGACATCACTTTCGGTATCCGCTAGCAATTTTTCACAATTTACAATTAACGATGGCTACTATTAGTACTTTTTTTTCATCATCTTTGGATCAACCTTTTATGCAAAGTGGGGATAGAAGTATAAGTGAGATAGTAATAGTGTGTGTTTGGGGAGCACCTTCGGCAAGCCGCCCCAGCGAACCCTCGGCTGTCAAGAGGGACCTTCAGCTGCTCTCAACGGAAGACCCCGGACAAGTAACAACCGTGGCGAAGGTTCTCCGACTAAGGTTGCCTCTATCCTATGCAACTGCAGGTCCATCACCAATCGTAGAGAACCTACATCGGAGACAAGACCCTCGCAATGGTTGCTACCTGGCGGAAGAAAGTTAAATGAAAAAACTTAATTCGAAACCGTACAAAAAAGATAACGACCTCAAATGAAACAACTTAAAACTATAAAGTTGTAAATCTCATGAAGAGATACAACTTTTATATAAAAAGTATCTTTATTTGTCACCGTACAAAAAAGATATGATTTTTCGAAGGCGAAAAAAGCTTATACGCGATTAATATACCGCAGAAACTTTATATTATTTTTTTTTGAACGTCTTAATGATCTCAAATGAAAAAAAAAACTCAAAACTTTGAATTTATAGATACCATTGAGAGCTATAACTTTCATATAAAAAATATCTCCATTTGACATCACATAAGAATATGATATGATTTTTCTAAGATGACAAGTATTTGTAACTGATTAATATACTGTTAAAATTTTGCTTAATTTTTTTATGCATCTTAATAATCTTAGATTAAACAACTCAAAACAAAAAGTCAGTAGATCTCATCGAGTGCTACAACTTTCATATAGAAAGTATCTTTAATTGACACCATATAAGAGAGATACGATTTTTTCAAGGCGACAAGCACTCGTACGCGATTAATATACTGTTGAAACTTTGTTTAATTTTTTTAAGCACATTAATGATCTCAAATTAAAAACTCAAAACTAGAAAATTGTAGATCTCATTTAGTGCTACAATTTTCATATATAAAGTATCTTCATTTGACATCATATAAGAGAGATACGATTTTTCTAAAGTGACAAGCACTTGTATGCGATTAATATACTGCTGAAACATTGTTTAACTTTTTTTTAGCATCATAATGACTTTAAATTAGAAAAACTCAAAACTAGAAAGTTGTAGATCTCATCGAGTGCTACAACTTTCATAGATAAAGTATCTTCATTTGACACCATATAAGAGAGATACAATTTTTCCAAGGGCACAAGCACTTGTACATGATTAATATACAGCTAAAATTTTGTTTAATTTTTTTGAACATTTTAATGACAACAAATTAAAAAACTCATAACTAGAAAGTTGTAGATTTCGTTGAGAGCTACAACTTTTGTATATAATGTATCTTCGTTTCACACCATATAAGAAAGATATGATTTTTCCAAGGCGACAAGCACTTGTTCATGATTAATATATCGCTAAAACTTTGTTTAATTTTTTAAGCATCTTAATGACCTCAAATTAAAAAAACTCAATACTAGAAAGTTATAAATCTCGTCGAGAGCTACAATTTTCATATAAAAATTATCTTCATCTGAGATCGTATGAAAAAGATACAATTTTTTTAAGGTTGCACCTTGCCGCGTTAGTCTGGTTGGCGTGGCGCTACAGTGCTGCCGCGCCAATGGGAATGGCGTGGCAAGGATTTCCACCTGAAAATCGTTGTCCGATGTGGCAGATCATGCCGTGCCGATGCATGTGGCGCGGCAGCGTGGCGCGGCCAAATGGGTTAGATTTGAAAATAAAAAAGCAATGGTGTTAGAGTTGGAATTTATTTTAGAAAAAAGTTAAAAAAAATCCTCGCGTGTAGCCCAGGCCCAGGTCCTGGACAATAATCCATCCGAACCCGAATTGTTGTTCTTTTAGGCTTTCCCCAATTTTTTATCCTTCGCCAATTAATTACGTGTTGCTAAAAAAACCAATTAATTACGTACTGTTAACACACCACTGCAAAACACACAATCCCTACCGATCCATTGGAAGCTTAAAACTGACAGTGACAGGGATATCTATATATCTTATCTATATTTATATCTATAATTCTTATAAAGCAAAACTCTACTACAAGATTTATATGCTCCGACAGCGTTCCACGTCATCAAGTGATTCAAACCATCTGATTCTATTCGTTAATATCTACCCTTCGTTTATCGTCCGGCCTCTCCATCTCCTCTACGTACCATCCAAGCCAAAGTGGTTTGTCAGTTACCAGACTTTTCAGTACCTCGCAATGCAACAGCAAGCATTATTGTTCAGCTGAGTCGAGAAGCAATTCTTCTCCTCTCCCATGCATGCATGCAACGGAAGCAGCAGCATTAAGCATGCGCTAAGGAGTCCAGAAGCAGTTGATCTCCTCCCATGGGTCGGCAGCAGCGGCGATTAAAAGCATGCACTACTCTGCCTGATCACATCCGGCCTGTAACCGGTGATGATGGCCTATTTATAACCAAGAGCCAAAGAGAATCACACAGGTAGTCAACAGGCCGATGTGATCGTCTCTCTTCACCCTACATTTTGTGCGCTCGCTTCATCATCGCACATGCGCAGCCATATTTCAGGGCAGCTGTTTGCATGGTCCTCCACTCCCAATATATATTAATCGGGGCGTTCAGTCTCAGAAGTTCGGTCACTGATGGCCTTCTCTCCATTACCAGCAATTCCGTATATCCACAGTGGTAAGCTTTAAGCCTTTATCCAGAGGTATACCCTATCTTTCATGCATATACATTCCATCCCTTTGTGGTTTTGGATATGCACCAGAAAATGTAAATTGTGAATACAATCGCACTAGGCACAGTGTGGTAGTACACTTAGGTGAATCAAAAGACTTGACCAATTTGCAAGCACGCTAGGGGCAAATTGGAATTGTTATGCCATTTTCCTTATGTATATTAGGCGGCAGTTTATGATGTAAGACATATTGTAAGAGTATATATTGTTCTTTGTATTAGATTTATTTTTCTTCTGTAACTTTCTTCTGTATATGTTGTTTTGAGAAGATGCACGAGCTACAATGCATTGAAGAATATGTATACCTAAATTTCACATTACAAATACGTCATGCAAATACCCAATACCAATAGGGTATACCTACTCAATTATATAATAAAGAAGCAACGATTTGCTGCAGAACTTGAGTCCTCAAGGACTATGTCGAAACGAATATTTAAGATACAAAAATCCAACCTTTTACTGTAGTAATATATATTCAATAAATATACTAAATCATCTTTAATACATGCCTGGAAGAATATTACATTTTAAGCAAAGTTCTATACAATAATCTACTCATTAGTATTTGCATCCTTTACCCTGAAATTTCACCTATAAATCCCGCGCCAACGCGTGGAATTCGTCTAGTATCTTATATTCCTAAACCCCACTAGCGATTTCTCTCAACATGCAAGCTGTCCACCTCAATAATATACTGTCACATGTAATTAAAACCCACTAGCATATGCAATTGTGAAGTCCATGTCAGCAAGACATATAAGCATTTCGTTGTCCATGTCAACATGCCACGTAATCCACTAGCATTAATTTATAATAGTTTATTCCTACGTATAAGTAATTATATATAGTATAATTTCATTCTAAACCATCCACAATTCCCGCAGCAACGCGTGGGGTATTCTTCTAGTTACCACTGATTTGTTAGTAAAAAGAACATTGTTGTAGAATTCTAAAACCAGCCAACAATGATAAGATGCCGTCCTGATTACCGCCGGATGGAACGCAGGACTGACGTTGATGTCTCCATCGTCACCGCTGGATGGTACACCAGACCAGCGTTAATGTCTCCATCGTCACCGCCAGATGGTACGCCGGTCTGGTGTTGATGTCTCCACCATCACCGAAGGATGGTATGTCAGTCCGGCATTGATGTTTCCATCGTCACTGCCGGATAGTACGCAGGCCCGGCTTTGATGTTTCCACCATCACTACCGGATGGTACGCTGGACCTACATTGATGTCACCACATCACCGCCGGATCGAACTCCTACATGGCGGTAATGATAAATGATAGAACAACCAGATTGAACGCGGGTCCGGCGGTGACAAACAATGCCATCGCCGGTTCGAAACGGGCAGTGATCCACAATGACTATCATCAACGGT